CGTGAAAGCTTATGCTCCCAATACTTCTGTTAGTCTTAAAGGTGCCCCCTGTTGCTTTTTGTATAGCTTGTTGACCTACCATTAGATTGCAAGGCCAGCTGTCTTGGTCGTCACAGATTTTATAAGATGATGGAAAATTACACTTAAAAAAAAATCCATTAGCTAAGCATATTAATCCAAAATAAGAAAAAATCACTTAGGATCTATAGTTTTCTGAGCTGGGCTGATATTTTTCTGGAGCATATTAGGGCAAGGCCTATTTACTGTGTTTCCTTTTTGTTTTACTAGATTAACCAAATAAATCAGGATAAATTATTAATTCTGCTCTTATTGTGCAGATATTCTACACTGCATTGCAACACGAGGATTATTTTTTTCTGTTTAATGTTTACAAAGTTGAATATTTAAATACTGAACAACCACTTTTGAAAGTTCTGGAGTTAGAAACTAAAAAGCCTTCTAGTTCTCTTTTTGGAAACTTGTTACAAAAAGTTTTCTAACCGTCCTTTTTTTTTTTTTGTCCCCTAGTTTGTCAAATTTGCCAACATTGAGGAAGACACCCCTTCATATCACAGACGCTATGACTTTTTTGTTTCTCGATTTAGTGCCATGTGTCATTCCTGTCACAGTGATCCAGAAACACGAACTGAGTAAGTACCAGTTTATATTGTATTGCTATGTACTCTGTGGAAAGCTAAAGCAGAACAGTATACAATAGTTATAACATTCGGTGATCATTCAAGGAACTAACATTAGAACCTGTGCATTATTTCAGGAAAATAGGCCTCGTACTGCAAGTCTTACTCAGTTAAAACTCCCAGTGTAGTTAAGTTTTACCTGAACAAGGACTGCAAGATTGTCCCAAATATATTAAGGGACATAGGGCCAAGCCTACAACCATATGAGTCACATGAGAAGTCAGACCTCACAATTGAAGTATTGATTAATTGATACTTCAATCAGGAGGCCAGGGGGACCCCTGTTGATACACCTGCTGCTTCTAAGGGGATCCCTGCTGCTACTCTAGGTTGGGGAAGAAGAGGGCCCCATGCTGCTGCCTCTACTTCTCTGGAAGGGAATTGGGTAGACCTCTGCCACTGCATTTCCAAGAGGGAGGTAAAGCTGTTTGAGGAATGGAGGAGGGGAAGGGCTAATATTGTGGTTGTCCTAGGGCACCAGGTTCCCTTCCAGTCCTGAGTAGTAGGCTTCTAACAAGTCTTCACTTACAAAGGAAATATTTAGTTTGTATAAGTAATCAAAATCCTTTACTACTACAATAGTACAAAAGTATATTATGGTATAAAATAAACTGTCTAAGCTTAGCTGAATTTTCAATAGTGAACTTCCAAACAGTTACCTTTAGTCAGTTTATCTAAAGTATAAACATCATGGTGATTTTTGTATGTTAAAACGTAAATAGATATAGGAATGGATTTGCCAGCTTACCATAACATTTTCTGCTTTCTTTAGTAGGATCACTGTTAGTCCATTTTGTGTAGTGGGAGTGTAAGCTGTGGTTAGGGATGGCATTTTGTATATAAATTAGTGTAATTTAAGGGCCAGCATGTCAATAGTGTAAAAACACTTAAATTCATAAAACGTCAGTATATTGCACCATGGGCTTGTTTTTTAGTATTACATAAACACTACATTTTTTTGGTCTTTAGCTCCCTCTAGTGGAGTGTTCTCATTTGTTGTGTAAACGATGTATAAACATTACTGAAAATACTCAAACGTTAGAATTTGTGAGAACTTTTTTTTATAGAATGATTTATATCTCCACTATATTGTTACCCTTTTTCACACTGTTAGGAGAATGATGTGCTACCAGTGCTGCTGTCTGGGGCCTCCTTGTGCTTTCTCTCTCAGGTTCTCTGGTCTTTGTTTCTTTCACAGATACACGGCCTTCGTAAAACAATAGCCAGCTAAGCCTCTTGCCTACGTGTTCCTTTGTTTTGGGTGGTGTGCCTGTTTTGGGGTGGGAGGTCACTGTTGCTTCAGCTACCAGGTTCCATAAGGGAGCGTAATGGCCTCTACATTTATTCTGAATGAAAGGTGGGTGTTACACCCACCAGCAAGGTTCATCCCAACCTATAACAATACTGATTTTTTTCCTGCTTTCATGTATTAGATTGTTCAGCTTGCCTTCAACTCTAAAAATCCAAATTATTAAGTATTTATAGTAGTCAGCATTGGGTGGAGGCCTACTCTGCTAGGTGTAGTACAAAAGACACTTTCTTTGCTCAGAGGAGTTTATAATGTAAGAAATAACTCAAGTATTCATCTGAAAGCTGTATATTTTTATTAAGGAAAGCATACTCATAATGCATCTTCAGGGACAACCTGAAGCTTCCGTGGTTGCATGGTCATTAAAAATAATCAACACTTATGGCACTTTTTACTTAGAACTCAAAGTGCTTTACGAGTTGTAAAGGTTAGATTAATAGATTCTAGGACTGGAAGGGACCTCGAAAGGTCATCGAGTCCAGTCCCCTGCCCTCATGGCAGGTCCAAATACTGTCTAGACCATCCCATATGGTCTAGACCATCCCATCCCATATGGTCTTAGTTTCCTTATCAACTTGGACAAGTCATAAAGCCTGCTGATCATAGAGATGGGGTTGGAACATGACTCTGGTAATTTCCAATCTTGTTCCTTACACCAACAGGAACGGGGATAGGTCCTGGCCTTAAACTAGAGTGTGTCCTAATACGGTTGTCATAAGACTGCAGACTTTGACAAATCATCCAGTAGTTCCAAATATCTAGTCTTTTTGAGACAAAACTAAGATGCAGAAGGATTTCAAGGTTAACATACATCTGATATGCTTACGATATTCAGATGTAAATCCAGCCCCTTTTTTTGAGTATTGGAAGAGACCTCTTCTAGTGGAAGCTGGGCCATTCTCCTGTACAGGAATTATGCCAGAAGATGGAGGATTAATGTTCCTTCAGTACAACAAAAGCCCCAGCTTCACGGGGGTTTTCTGCACAACAGTAACAGTAAGGATATGAGGGCTGGGCCTATGGTGCTGCTGTATAGATCCACTGGCCTTTTTCCTCCCACATAGTGCAGGAATAAGTAGCTCTTCTCCCACTGTGATCAGAGGGGAAGCATACCTTCCTCCCAGTGTTCAGGGGCAGGATTTTGGTCTTAAATAATTTGCATTTTTCATGTTTAAGTTTCCTGTCAGCCTGAAGTAACTCTGAATTGATCCAATTCAGTTTACATTATCATTGTGAAAGAGACTTCCCTAAAGGTTAGGATTTTTTTTGAAAGCTTAAATTCTGCAGAACCCTACTTTCCAGGACAAGTTTCCTACTCATGTTGGCAAATGAGCTAGCAAATTTTTCAGGACATTAAACAGACTCCTATAACTCAGATTCTCAAGCTCCAAATTGATTCTAAGGGTCAGATTGAAAGAGCCTGTCTGTACAGAAATCTTAAACTTGGTTCTCATCACCTCCTTCATAAAGAAAAAAATTAGATAATCATAGGAGTTAACACAAAAGTTGCCATTAGGATGGACAGTGAAGTCACTCAAGACGAACAAGTCATCACTATGTAAGTACCTTTTGATAGGGGTGATTATTGGTACAACCATTACATGAGCAAAACTTGATTGTACACCAAAGATGTATAACTGAGAATTAAATGAGCATTCTTGATTAAAGTCATGCTACTTTCCTGTAAAGAATAATAAACATCTCACTTCAAAAATGTTAATATTATGGATGACATTATGTGACTGAAACGTTCTGTGATGGAAGATTAAAATGCAGTGCACTTTAACTGTAATTCCTAGACTTCTTAAAATTGGAATTACAAGACTGCACTATACTTCTACTAAAGTAATAAACATGCATTTCTCTAGCTATTTGAAATGCATCCCAATCACATGCACATGCTGTCTCTACCTCTTACATTAACCATATTAAAGCTGTCTTGCATGAACTCCTAGAAACAGGTTTAGTTCTGGTACCGAATCCTAATTAGACCTGCAATAGATTATTCAGAATCATAGCCCCCTTATTTTCCTATAACTGTGTGCCTAGTGAATAAAGTGGCATTTATGAAGTAACTTGGACTGTTTTAGTTTAGTTTAGCAACTGTAATGTGACTAACAGTTAGCTTAGAGAAGTAAGAATCAAGGCCAGTGACCATATTCCTTTGTGCTGAAATTAAGATTTAAAATGGCTTTAAAGGCGTGATAAAATCTTTATTTTTAAAAAGTCAAATTATGCTAAATCTTCTCACCTCTTATAACTAGTAGCTTTCTTCATTTCAATGTCTCTTCTCAAAATAAGTAAAAATATAAAAAATAAAATAAAAAAAATATATAGCCATTGGCGCTTCAACATATTTAATATTTATCAGTTCAGTGCCACAAATATGAACCTTTTCTGTATAAAATTGCGTTTTACATAGTTTCTTCTAAACTACACCTGTATTTATACTTATGGATTAGGAATGTAAAAAGGTAACTGGTTAAGCTTGATGCTTATCAGTTTCTGTTAATGATTAAACTCCATCTGGGATCCCAGTGGGCAGCAGAGCGCAGGGCCAGCAGCTGGAATCCCCAGATGCGGGGCTGGCAGCGGAGCCCTGCCTAAAACGTTGGGGTGCTGCAGCACCCCTGGCATCCATAGTTCCCCGTGTACATTTAACATTTAACCGTGTAACGATAGAATTTTAATCGGTTACATGGTTATGGTTTTTACACGTTATTTACATCCTTATATAAATGGCTGTAATTAATAGGACTAAGTCCTCAGTAGAGGTCCGAGCATATCAGTTTGTATTTTTTTGCGGTCAGCATTTTTGGTGTATTTGGTTGATAAATACAGATGGAAGTGCCCTTTCATATTTCATGTTTAACTTTTATTCATTGATCAAGATAAATGTAACTGTTCTAGCAATTCAGGCTGCCTTCCCTTTTCTGGCTTACTTCTGTCATTTCTAATCATTCTTGTAGATATCAACCTGCAAAAATCTTGAAAGATTAGCTCCTTCTTCTTTTTTGTAAGCCATGCACTTGGTGCTTTAAGAGGCAGTCTGTACAGTTGAACAATTTTATATATTTGCAAATGTGCCTGAAGATCCATATCAGTACAACTTTTAAAGGCCATATATTGTTCTCATGTGTGCATGAGTTGCTTCCATCAGTGTCAGTAGGAGCCTTGTGTCCATTTAAAGGCAATATGTATATCCTTAGCAGTTTTAACCAGCTTTCCAATTTAATTCCATTTTAGAGCTGAAATGAAATCCAAACTGCATAACCACACTGTCTAATAACGAAATAAATCATTGTCTTATGCTACGTTTCCACCTTTTGAAATTTCTTTTCTCTCCTAGGATCCGGATTGCTGGAATCAGAGGCATTCAGGGAGTAGTACGTAAAACAGTTAATGATGAGCTCAGAGCAACCATATGGGAGCCTCAGCATATGGACAAGATAGTTCCCTCGCTGCTGTTTAATATGCAGAAGATAGAAGACCTTGACAGGTATTCTGCACTAATTATCACTAATTCCAATTTTTTTTTAAAGCAAGGTTTAGATAGCTTTTCCTTCCCTGTTAGAGTAGCTCTCATTGTCACTACATACTCTTGATAAACGTGTATAACTCGTAGCATAGATATGGTTAACTGTTAATCTTCGCCTTGATAAACATTTTTTTCAACAATCAATATTTCAGTTTTTCCAGATCCCATCAGACTGAAAATTGGTTCACAAATTCTTTATCCAGATACCTTTAAGCTTTTTAAAATTAAAAATCACTTGTTCATGCAGTGTCTGATATAAAAATCAGCAAATACCATTTTTGCCCAACTAAACAAACCTATTTAAAATTGAGATTTTTATTAATGTTTAGGTAGTCCTTAAAGCAGTTTCTGGGATTTTTCTTTTAGGGGAGGAGAAGTGGAAGCAAGATATGGAACTAAGGCACAAATGGCAGTTGAGCACCCAGCTGCTGTTGACTATAAATGGCTCTTTGGCATCTAACTGCCATTTGTACTTTTTGAAAATCTCTCCAAAGATATTTATGAATGAAATCACTGTAGCTCTTGAGAATATACAACGGTTATTTTTCCAGTGCATTTGTGTATGTACCAGAATGTGTATCAAGTTTTTTGTTTTTTTGTCCATAATATTATTGAAGCCATACAATTGCTGATAAATACTCTTCTGTGGAGCATGTATTACAGGCAATGTCCATTTGCTAATCCTGTGGAATTGCGTCAAGCTAATTCCATTTGTGGAGGCATTCTTCAACAAATCTTTCTTTGTGGCTGAATCTGCCACTTTTAAGAGCCTGCCTGTTGTTAGCTCCGGTAGACTTTCTACATCTACACAACGCAGTCATTTCATGCTCTCTCTCGTGCCTTCCTGCTTTTCTTTCCTGAACCTACAGGCCCTTTGTGTTCTCTCCTGCCTCACTTTTTCTTCCATTTCTGGCTGGCAGCACCTTGCTCCCCTTCAAAGCAGCAACAATTTCAAGCTAGGCTGGTACCAATGTCTCCCCACTTCAGATCAGTCATTGCCTACCTGCCCATTTTTCTACATGCTTCTCTGAGAGTCTTTGGAATACAGATTGCCCAGACCTTTGAGGCACACAGCTGTCTCCATGTGGCTTTTACCCTTGGAAAAGTGGCCTGAACAAAAGCCAGTTGTTCCCAGGACCCTCGTGTTGCTGTTCTGAACGAGAGCAGCCTAGCCAGCCTCCACTGGCCTTGGGATGTCTGTGCTAGAAGAGAGGACTTCTCAGGAGCAAGTAGACAGAGACACCTCTACATTACCCCCTTTCAGGTTCCTCTTAACCTCTACCTGTGCTGAGAAGCAGACGTATGGTTAACTAAATTAGTACTTACTCATTAAAGAAATGAATGCAGAAAGACTCTGACTTAAATGGGGTTTGGGTTAAGCCTTAAAGGAGGTCATTTCAGATGGACCCTGGGGTAAAATTTATCACTTAGTGAGCAAAGGAAAGTAATATCTGAGGCTAACTGCTTATTTGAAAGATAGTATTCTAAAGACACTCAGCAGAAAAAAATGGCTAATGCTTTTCCAAGTGGCAAATAAGTGGCTTTTATACACATGACATAAAAATGGAAAACAATATTTATCAGTTGTTGACTCTTGGCCTTAAATGCTACAAATAATTTCTTGGTTTTTTTGCTATTGTGACTTTATACATGCACAGGCAGAAGAGAGAGGCATCTTGAAGAGTAGGAGTACGAACCATATTGTTCTAGCAGATGGCATCAAAGCATTATGCAGGAAAGACCAGACTTTCCAGTGCAGCTGCATAGAGAATGAATAAATACACACTACCATCTTAAGGGAGAATGAAACATTTCTCTTGACATTGGTTGCTTTTAAGAAACAGTTATGGGCTCTTCTTCAAGTAGTGTGCCTGCGCCCTTGGTCTGAGATTTTTGGTAGCGGTGCCTGTTCGGCCCACACATGCACCCCACACATGTTTGTGCCCCTCGCTGAGATAATATGGGACAGCACAAGCAAACTGCCCTCATTTCCTTCTCAACTGCCTTCGGCCTGAGATGGAGCCTGTGTGTGCCTGTTTTCTCTAATACTTCAAAAATTAGTTATCATATAGTTATCTTGTAGCGTTTGCAGTTGTTGGAATAGTTGTTCCTTTTGTATTTTCTTTTTTAAAAGAATAATCTTTAAAAAAATATTCATAGAGATAATTTAAGAGCTTCCCCTTATAGAAGTTTTTTCATTACTTTACTCTGGAATGCTGGTCTTCAAGAGGCGTCTCTCCTGCCATGAGGCTATTCAGGTCAGTGATGGGCATTCCCGGTTCCTCTGCTGTTTGGGTGATACTCATATCCCCAGTAAGTGCAAGATCTGCACTTCCTTCAAGGATAGATCCCAGAAAAAGAGGGAGATCAAGTTAAACTCCTAATGATGGAGCCCTGCTTTAGGACCAGCTTCTAATCCCCGTGATGGAGGACTCCCCTCTACATAGACCTCCCAGTGCTGCTAGCACCCCATCCACATCAAGGTCTTGGTCACTGGAGACCACTAGAGATGTGGGCAGTACCACGGCACGAAGTATATCTATCGTACTGAAGTCCTCATTGACATCTGCCTCTAGCTAGGGGGAGGTAAGGAGTAAATCTCTAAGAAATCTCAGTCACCGACACACAAGAAGGCACAGAGACCTCAGGTCCCAAGGGGTTCCATGCAAACTCCAAATGATGCCGGCACTGCAAAGGTGGAGAGAAGTCCATTGTTTAGACAAACTCGGAAATGAGTTTGCGTACCTGTACCCACACTGGCAGAGACATTGTCATTCTGGTCAATAGAGGCTGCTAAGACAGTTTAGCAAACCCTAGCTGCCATACCACCTACTTGCAAGAGGGCAGATAAAAGGTGGTATGTCCCTGTCAGGGAATCAGAGTTTTTTATTTTCTCATCCAGCTCCACATTCCCTGGTAGTGAAGACTTTTAGTGAACAAGGCAGATAGCATAGCTCAAAGTCCACCCTTTACAGTAAGGATGACAGGAGGCTTGATCTTTTTGGTCCCAAATGCTATGCTTTAGCCACACTTCAGTTCAAGATAGCAAATTATTAGGCACTCATGGTCAAATATGATTATTTAAATTACAACAAACTTAATTCCTTTATTGAGCCCTGCCAGAGGAACATCGTGACCAGTTTAAGGCCATTGTAGGTAAGGTCAGCTCCTGGCAAAGATATCATTCCAGGCTTCCTTGGATGCTGCAGATATTGCAGCACGATCTACACTCACTGCAGTGGTCAGGAGGAGAGTGTCTTCGCTGCAGCTGTTGGGCTTCCCAAGAGAGATTGAGAGTACTGTCAAAGACCTGCTGCGGCCCCGGGGGCTCAAGCCGTGTGATAGGTGTGGTAAGCCTATGCTCAGAGGGGATCTGCACGCCGCTTGTCTGAAGTGCCTGGGAGAGGGACATTTGCAGGACAAGTGTAGTATTTGCAGTGGCTTCAAGCCCAGAACCAAAAGTGGGAAAGGCTATCGGCTGAAACTCCTTTTAATGTAGTCTGCTCTCTGGCCTCAACCAGCACAAGAGGTGGCACCAGCAGCCTCATTGCACAGCGCACTGGCCTCGGTGCGGGACACCTTGGCACCGAGGAAGGACTCTCATAAGAAGCATCGGCACAGCGTGGAAGGCCGGCTCATCAGTGTGACACCGATCACAATCCCCAAGCCGCATGAGAAGAAAAAGGCAGAGGGGGCCATTTCCATGCCAAGAAGAGTAAACAGGACATCAGTGTGGTGCGTCCCACAGCGGGACACCAGAAGGCTGGTCCATTGGTCCCGTCACCGTTGACTCTGGCCTTTAGGGGAGGCCTGGTATTCGTGGAGGTGTTGGAGGAGGACCTTAACCTTCCCTCCACACCAGACACTTTCAAGGCCGCATGGGACTTGATTGCCATGACAGCACAGTCCCCTGCCTCGCATTCACCGGTTCGGGTGCAGACAGCACAATCCCCAGCTCATCCTGGAGCATATGGACAAGACAGTTCCCTCGCTGCTTTTTAATATGCAGAAGATAGAAGATATTGACAGATATTATGCACTAATTATCACTAATTCAGATTTTTTTTTTTTAAAGCAAGGTTTAGACTCTCTTCCAAGAGTAGAAAGAAGAACAGGAGTACTTGTGGCACCTTAGAGACTAACATATTTATTAGAGCATAAGCTTTCGTGGACTACAGCCCACTTCAAGCTTATGCTCTAATAAATTTGTTAGTCTCTAAGGTGCCACAAGTACTCCTGTTCTTCTTTTTGCGGATACAGACTAACACGGCTGTTACTCTGAAACCTTCCAAGAGTAGATAGCTTTTCCTTTCCTGTTAGAGTAGTTCTCCTTCCTGGAGCACCGATACCCGGTAAATCTGCTGCACCACTTCAGGCACTGACAGCGGCACCACCTATCTGGCACCGTGGCAAGTCCACCATGATGCAACAATGTTACTCAGCGCCCCGGTGCCAGGTCAGGATCCACCTCTCTCTGGTCGGGCTCGGACTATTCCTCTGAGTCAGAGGCAGAGTTGTTCGTGTCCCGACACAGCTGGTACCGCTCAAGATCCTGGCACCGGTCTCTGCACTGTAGAACGGAGGACCCTTTGTACCGATGGTGTCCTGGCCACCCCAGTGGCAGGGCCCGGTACAATGGCCCTTTTGGACAGCTTGGGCCTATCACCAAGCCCAAGGGCGTAGTTCCAAGGCGGCATCAGTAGTTTTCATTGCCTGTGGGTCCTCCCCTACCCCAGGGCTCCTGAGGATCATGGGGTGCAGACCCCGGGCCTCCCGGATTAGGTTCGTTGTCAGAGCTGCCAACGCTTGCGGCTCCCGCAGCACTAGTCACAGCGGCAGTGGATGTCCCTGAGCACATCACCAGGGAACCGGAGGGGCAGGAAGATGCTGACCCACCTCAAGCCTCATCTTCTTCCTCGCCGCATGAGGCAGTAGTGGGCACTACTATGTCCCTCCCGGCA